TAGAGGGGAAAAGTTTATATAGAGCCGAGGCTCTAAATAATTAAATTTGAGCCTACCTCTAAAATTTCACTAGAAGATGTTGTTTTGATGCCCAAATATCTTCAAATTGATCATCTCGACATCAAGATGCATGGACATGAGAAAAAAAAATGGATCGCAAGTTTTGGAAATTGTATATTTTATGACGCATTTTTTGAACGTCAATTTTCAAGATTTTCAAGTTTTCATAGATGCATCGATCTACGCTATTTTTGAAGCTTTAAAATTTATAAATAAATATAAAAATATATTTTAAGGCTTTCATAAAGATTTGCAATATTGAAACCATATTTCTCGACACTATTTGAAGGTAGGCACTAATTTGATTATTTAGAGCCTAGGCTCTATACAAACTGCATCCTTTCTAGAGAGAGGGAGAAGCAAATAGAGTTGTGTAGAAGGGAGAGAATGGACACAATAAGTGGTTGAAGGGTAGAGCACACTAAAGAACAAACTAAGAGGTTAAAAGATAAAAGTATATAAATAAGGGAAAAAGTTTATATAGAGCCGAGGCTCTAAACCATCAAATTATAGCGTGCCTCAAAAATTTCACTAGAAGACGTCGTTTTAATGGTCAAATATCCTCAAATTGATCATCTCGACATCAATATGCATGGACATGAGAAAAAAATGGATTTCAAGTTTTGGAAATTGTATTTTATAATGCATTTTTGGACCGTCAATTTTCAAGATTTTTAAGTTTTCATAGATTTAGCGATCTACACTGTTTTTGAAGCTTTAAACTTTAAATAAAGATAAAACTATATTTTAAGGCCGTCACAATGATTTTCAATATTGAAACCACATTTCTCAATACTATTTGAAGGTGGGCTCTAATTTGATTTTTTAGAGCCTAGGCTCAATACAAACCGCACCATATAACTAAAAGCAACATTGCTTTGATGTAAACAGAAAATTGTGGCCCCTTGAGAACTTACGAGAGAGAGAGAGAGAGAGAGAGAGAGAGAGAGAGAGAGAGAGAGAGAGAGAGAGAGAGAGAGAGAGAGAGAGAGAGAGAGAGAGTAGAGAGTAGAGTAGAGTAGTAGAGTAGAGAGAGAGTAGAGAGTAGAGAGTAGAGAGAGAGTAGTAGTAAGTAGTACGAG